TGGCTCACCTCCTTCGTTGATACCGATTGGATAGGTGGGTTGCCACCNCTCTTCTCCACCTATCTTACCCTCATGGTCCCCCACCAACCGTGCCCCTATCTACCCCCATGCTTGTCCACAAACTTTGGGTATCACTTTCAGATAGCAACCAATTTGAAACACAATCCACATCTTAGCTGCATATCACAATACATCTGGTAAGTATTCATTTATCTCCCCCCCCTCCAACTCTCCTTGAAATTGCGGCCTTTCTAAAGTGGGACAGTTCAACAGATCTTGCCTCAACGACAACCTGCCAGTATGAATTTCTCTCATTTCTTTCTGTATTGGTCTAATTATAACACTTATCCTTGCAGGTTAGGTTATACTTCAGCAAGCAGTCAACTCTCATGAAACATGCAGTGAGGGAAACAAAACTGTGGGACCCATGCACCGTGTAAGTCTTTTTTACCTTTCTCCCTGGCAGCTGGGTTAATGATTTCACTTTTCTTCTGATATAGTTCTTGTTGCAATCTAGCCTTTCGTTGTAAGTGTGGGACCATGTAAGTTTGTTTTCCTATCTAACGTATAGCCGTACATCCAACTTGAGAAGGCCAGAATGAAACAGACCGGAAATGGAACCGACAAGTGCCAAGCCATGGTTTGTTGATTGTTAAACTGACGTCAACATGCCAAATGCGGACAAAACGTGCATTTAGGCTCACACAGTCGTTGCACAGCTCTCAGACCATGTCAAGAACGATTGCCAGTTGACGGCCATCCTCTGGAGGCATTAAATAGAAAGATAACAGTATGAAAATTTTAATTTGGGTAAGCCTTCACCTACCCAACCCCCCTCCCCACCCCATATGCCGGCAATTGCCAGTACATACCCCTTGATCCAGAGGAATGGCACTGGAATCCGCAGGAATGGCACTGGAATCCACAGGAATGGGACCAGAATACAACCAATACAACACCTTTCCTTTTTGATAGATACATTTACACTAATATGCACTTCTTCACACTGACTTAAAGGGTATGAACACTTTCTTATAACATTTATATATTAAAACTCAAATCTACATCTAATTTACTATTTTCTAAGTTAAATGAAGGGGCAGGAAGAGAGGGGGGGAGGAAGGGAGGAAGGGAGGGAGGGTGGAAGGGAGGGAGGAAGGGGGGAGGAAGGAAGGAAAGGGGGAGGAAGGGAGGGACAGGGAGTCATGTGGGGGTGTGATCAATGTGATCAGCATAGGAAAGGGGGAGGAAGGAAGGGAGGAGGGACAGGCAATGGTGTGGGGCAGGCCCTGGGGAGGGGATGGAGGGGGAGAGAGTGGTGGGGACTAATAAAGGGGAAGGGAGTAGTGCTGGGCCTCATCGTCGTCATCCTGTGTCGTCGCATGGTCATCATTGTGCTGTCGTCATCATGTTTTCGTCATCGTGTGGTTGTCGATGCATTGCCGTCGTTGCATTGTCATCGTTTTGTGATGTGGCATTGCAGCATTTGCATGGTCGTCGTGGTGGGCGCTCGTGGATGGTGGTGGGTGCCGTCTGGATGGTGGTGGGTTCATTGTGTTGTCATCGTCATGTTGTCGTCGTTTTGTGACATGGCGTTGTGGCGTTTGCGTGGTCGTTGTGGATGGTGGTGGGTGCCATCTGGATGGTGGTGGGCTCGTTGCATTGTCGTCGTTGTGTTGTCGTCATTTTGTGATGTGGCATTGTGGTGTTTGTGTGGTCATTATGGATGGTGGTGGGTGCCATCTGGATGGTGATGGGTGCTCGTGGATAGTGGTGGTGTCGTCATCATCGTCCGTTTGGCTGCCACGTCACTGGCAGTGGTCGTTGCCGTTTGTTGCTGGGTGGTCGT